TGCAAATCGAAAGTACATGAAGAAAGCGCGACCCCCTCGCTGCGAGGCCACGACCCCGCCCACTGGCCACAACGACGCCCAGCTTTTATTTTTATGGTATCCTAGTGGTTTGATTCGTTCCGCGACTAGTTCTCTCTCCATGAGCGGTGAGAGTGAGGTGTGAGTGAGAAAATACGAGCAAGTCAGAACTCGTCCGATACTCCCTTTCTTCTGCGCGTTCAAACTGAAGTGCGGCTCGAGTTTGGGTTGCCTATGAGGCATTTCGATCCGGTTCTTTCTGCTTTTTCCTTCCTTTTTGTGCTATTTATCTTGTCATTAATATTCAAGCCGCGCAACTGACCATCTTTGGGCGCGGTGTGCCATTAAGATATGGCGAAATGTTTGTCACAGACACCGCATCCTGGTCCCAAAAGACTAAATATTCGTGCTTTCTTTAAACTCAGATTTGCTATAGCTTTCTTACCTTAGTGGAGATTTGGCCTATTCTCTCTTCAGGTATCATTATTGCCTTTGAGCTGAACCTAAGTACCTGCTCATTTAGTTTGTCTATAGTGCACTTCTACGCTTCATGGGCGGCTTCTTGTGAACAAGTGAATAAAGTCTTGAAGGATTTGGAGGTGTGTTGATCTTCTTCTGAAAAAAAATTACGCTTGTTCGATGACTGTCTGTTCTCTAGGAAGACACTAAGTCGATTCCTTCAGTGGGTTTTTCCTTTATCGATGCAGAGGGTGTAGCAGAAGTTTCCGCAATGTACTCAATTGCTGCCGCTCCAACAGTGGTGTATTTCAAAGTACGATTTGAATTCCTTTTGTTTTGGTTTTTGTTGGTATAAAGTTCATATGTTCGGGTCTAATTACAGTCTTTGTTAGGATGGAAAAGAAGTTGATCGCGTAAATGGTTATAAGCCTAGTGAATTCGAGATGAAGCTCACAAAACATTCTTTCGATATTGCTGCAGCTCCCCTTGATTCGCAGCCGAAACCCAAGGAGGTACTGTGCTCACGTTCCTTTTTCAAAATGGAAATTTGATTCTGGCACCTCGGAAATGTGCTGGGAACTGGTTTCAAAAACAATTTAGAATGAGCGGTAGAGTTGTGGTAATATGGTATGTGGCAAGAGAATGTAATTTGCCGCACGAGTGGGCGTCGCGTACGACGTCGCGGCTGCTAATGACGACGATTTTAGTGGCATTGGTGGAGAATAGATACCGTATGACCAAAAATAGACCTAAGTGTCTACATGAAACGCGATACTGCAATCAAAAGAGCAGTGCAAATTGAGAAAACGTCGCGCCCACTGCCGCGCGCGACGAAACGGTATTTTACGATTCTCTTGCCCGTCTCCCGTGGTACTCACATATTTTTTTCAATAAACATTAGTGGATTATTTATATCAGTCGTCATGATATCAAAAGTTATGATTTCTTTTACAGGGTTTGAATACTCGCTTGAAAAGGCTCATTGAATCCCATCGTTTGATGCTTTTCATGAAGGGTTCACCCGATAATCCGAAATGCGGTGAGATTTTTAATGTTACGGATATTTCAGTAGGTTCTGGATTTTACATGTTTCCGTTTCTTTGAAACTAATATAACTACATACGAGAAGACGCTAGACAATTTGGGCATTTGGCTAATAATTGGCTGGCAATCACTGACACAGTTTTGGGAATCTTCTTATTCTTATACTTATAAACCCATTAATTAGGCTCTGATATATGTCCATTAAAGACAGCCCCCGCGATCAAAGTGGCTCGTGGTCGCCTTTGCTGTGCAAGTAGTCTAGCCTCCAAGCTAGAAGACTGTTCACCTTTCGCGACTCTATGTGAGCGTGGAGGCTGCTATAGCCGCTCAAAGTGCTAGTTCTAACTCCTCCTCAGTCGGACCGCCTTTACTTGCTAGATGTCCTCCGACGGAGGCCACTCACTTGTTCTTAGTTGGGGCGGCGGGCATTGCTAATGCCCCTGGATAATTCTGCTCTCCTTCATTACAGTTTACTCATTGGAGGTATATACATTCAATTCAATCCATTTCGCGAGGTGAAACGCGTAAAAAACACGAGTGACGCAATTTTCGTGATGCAAAACCACGACGCACAAAAGGTGCGCTACCGTAATCACAAATTCAGACACCGTGTTGATAAATTCCTTTTTCCTTCCCAGAGTTTTTCCTCCGCGTTTTTGTTAGTTTTTCTTTTTGTATTCTTTCTTTTGCACTAGATGATATCAACTACTGCGAGATGTGATAGAGAGATTTGTGAGCTAGGGGCTGCACAGAGACCGCAGGGAGGTGTAACTGTGAGGGAGCGATTTTGTTTATGTTGTTCTGGAGAACGCTTCTTGCCTGTTTTCTTCTTTGGGAGATTACTTATCAGCTGCTGTTTCATAATTGGAAAGCAGCTATCCATGAGACTTTTATCGCGGGAGCTGTCTTTTAATATGGCTCTGATATATGTCCAATTACATTCGACAAGAACAGTATCAACACTACCATTTATCCAAAATAATGACTACTCAAGTTTCCCTGTTCCAAATCTCACAAAGGGCTACTCGCATAAACGCTGTTCGTATAGGTCACACGATGCCGTGGTCATAAATATGACATTCGTTTTTGGTGCTGGTCATAAGCCCGTCTTTCTCCTCCAGAATCGGCTTAAATTTACACGTACTGGGGTTATTTGACATAAAGATATTATGACGTGAACTTTTGGCATCGCCGCCACTCATCGAAATTGGACCCTTAATGGTGCAGTTGTCAAGAATGAGTATTGAACCGGTAATCAGGGTACCGAGTATTTGCGTTACGTTTTTTATATCGATTTCGGAATGGGATGGTGATGACCCGTCTTAATTGGCTGCCGCGTATAAATAAGACGTTTATATTCGTGAACAGCGTTCATTGCCACGGAGGCGGCGTTTGTTGTAGGAACAGTGAAGATGTTTTACGAAATCCACTGGATTGATTTACCTGGGAATAATGCTGAACAACTCTTCCGCAAAAGTAGTATGCCTGCGAATGCGATGAGCCCCTTTATGTTATAAAAACACGAAGTGTGTTGCGATCCTTTTTTTTAGGGGGGGGGGGGGTGGTGGGCGTCGAGAAATTGCTGCCGCAAGCGCTTGTGAGCGACTCTCATTTTGCTTAGTAGCTTTGTTTTCTGATCTCTAGAAATTGCAAAGCTGCCAGTTAGTAATACGAGGCGCTCGGAGGCCTGTGTATTATATTAATGAGAAGCGCAATACTTTTGTGTATTGTGTTTGCAATGCCATTAATTTCTGTCTGAGTTCTTACTCAAGTTTTTGATTTTTGACATTTTTTTTCAAATGGATAAATAGCATTTGTGTTATGACCCCTTTTGAAGAGAAATACTTAGGGGAGTCGTATTTTCCAAGAACGTTCCGCTGGGAGATGAAGGATGATGCCTTCGCCGTCGATCAGTCCCTTGTTGGGGTGCGGCATGCATTCTACTTCCATTCAGAATTGTAGTAGTGGCTCACTGGATGGCAATGTGGCCTTCACAAAGAATTGTGGGAGTGAGCCGATGTTCAAGTCTATTCTTGTCCCCCAGACAAGCCTGGTACCGATTTACCGTTCTCGGAGGGAAAAGGCTTGCATGGCTAGGAAATGATCCCCGGACCGCGCGCGAGGTAAGCGTAGCACTTGCTCCTACGCTACCTCGGCAGAAGTATTTGCATTATTTTGCATTTTGTACTCGTATCGTAATTGGAATCTGAATTATCTTCTGCGCTCTATGTTCGTGTCATAAAAATCACTGGAAAAGCCCCTTTGTTCAAGGATTCTCGAAGCAGACCGTCGCATTGCTGAATGAGATCGGTGCAAAGTTCGGTTCGTTTGACATACTAAGCGATGAGGAGGTCAGGCAGGGTCTAAAGGTAAGCAGCAAATTTCTGATCCTTTAGTTGAACTGTTTGTTATTGTGGCAGCTGTGGTATCCTTACACTGGGGAAAAACGTGATAAGATAAAGGAAGATTCTCCGCCGTTAACCTATCCCCTTTTTGGAATGCGTAAGACATTCTACTTCCTTTGAAAATCGCATTTACTGTGTGCCATGTGGCCAATACAATGACTTGCGGGGTGTAGCCTATGTGCAAGTTAGTTTCTTACCCTCTCAAACGAATCTGTCACCAATTTACCGTCAGGGTACAGCATGGGGATCTGCGAAATGTCGGTGTGAGTACGACCCCCCCCCCTTCGAATGGGGTCCAGGCACGACCCCCCTCCTCCGACTCCACGGCTGGCTTTTTCACCAACGACGAGCGAGAGCATAGACGAACTATGGACGAAAACTACTACTTGATATACTACATGACTATGCAACGTATATCCCACGGGCGTACAAAATGCATATAGTGCATATAAAAAATTAATACGACCCCCCCCCCTTTTCCACAGAAAAAAATCACATCCCCTCCTCCCCCGCCCCCATGGGTTTGACACAACGATGCTGTACCCTGTTTACCGTCCTTAGGCGGAGCCGATCCGGGATTCGACTCCGGATCGCGCCATTGGTAAGAATACCACTTGCCACTGTACCATCCCGGCTTCGGAAAAAAAGGAGAATAATTATGCGCAGAAAACCATTGTTATATTGCAGACATATTCAAATTGGCCAACGTATCCACAGCTGTATTTGGACGGTGAACTCATTGGAGGCTTGGATGTTATTCGCGAAGAACTCAAGGATGCAGATTTTGTCGCCAAGTTGCCGAAGAAAGAGGCGGGTGTTGATTGATTCTTATCAGCACAGCCCTGGCTTTCAAGAATTTTTATTTCCAGGAAAATGATCTGAACAGCCGGTTGAAGAAGCTTGTTAACCAACATAAGCTGATGTTGTTCATGAAGGGTGATCGACACGCGCCGCAGTGTGGTTGGTTGTTTTTTTATGTGTTTATACATCACTTTTCACTTGTTGTTTTGCCAGTGGAAGGGTTAAGGTTTCTCACGTCAAATGGTAGGACTGCTTGATGGAGTTGGGGCGGACTACGGAACCTTTGATATTCTCAAGGATGAAGAAGTGAGACAAGGGCTGAAGGCAAGTTTTTCTTTGTTGCATGATGTAGCGCAGTACCTAGATTGATTTGATTCAACTTTGGGGCTTGTTTTACTTTTGAACCACTTCTTTCGTAGAGAGCATAAAATGCTTATTCGTTGGACCGCATTTTCTGCTATCATTGTCAATTGCAAGTGTGTGAGATTAGGCTTAACCTCTATTCCCTTCTTCTCGTCTTGTAAATGGATATCCCGAAATAAGGAAAGGGTAGGGAAGTTCGTTACCTCTAACATTCCATCCTTCACTCGTGGCACGCCGTGAACTATCCGCTATATAAAGAATAAATTCTTCACTGTTTATTATTTTCCATTTGGCTTGCGGCACGCATTTTACTGCCATTAAAAATCGTTGTGATGTACTGAATGCGATGTGCCCTTTACAATGACTTGCGGGGACCACTCGCTGCGCAAATTAGCATTCTTAGGCAGCGTTCAGACTTCGCGACGGCAGCGCTTCGGTCGCGCGTTCGACGCGATCAATGCAGTCGAAAGCATGCGCATCGATCGCGTGATGAAGTCTGAACGCTGCCTTATCTTTCTAGGCGAATTGGTACCGAATCTTGTTTACTATCTCCCGTAGGGTAGAAGACTTGACTGGCCCAGGCGGAGCCGGTACGAGATCTCATCCGTGGACCGTGTGCATGATAAGCGATCTATTTGCCATTGTTTCCCTGAGTCTGAACTACAGCTCACTCTTGTAAGTCTGAAATTTCACAATTTATTTGGCGGAACGTCAGTTTGCAAAGTAGAAAACAGTCTCACTAATGTGAGTGTAACAAGGGTTCCCTTAAATTGCTCTCCTCTGGACCATATGCCTTTCCGCTTCATCTTCTCTCACCTGTTTAGACCCCGACGACGCACCCTCTACGCCTGGTCAGAGTTTTCTTGAATCTTTCCGGCGATTACATTACGGTTTTTGATTTCAAAGCATTCTGCATCGTAAACTAAGCGTTTTGTCCAAACGAAATGCTTTTGCTTCCAGACTTTCTCAAATTGGCCAACGTATCCTCAACTTTATCTTAATGGCGAGCTTCTAGGAGGACTAGACGTAGTTAGAGCGGAGATGAGCGATGAGAGTTTTGTTTCTTCTTTACCGAAAATTTGAAGTTATTGAAAAGACTTACGTAGTCATTGAGTGATTGACAGCCGGTTATAGATTTTATCATTTTGCCTTGATAACTGTTTGTAGACCCATGCACGTGATCTTGTTTGGTTCTTTCTTTGCCAAAGCTTTTATTTTAATTTTTCAGTATCATCTTCATAAATTTTTCTCGTAGAGGACCTTGCCAGCGTCATTGTGTTCTTCTGTTGTGCTCCAATTAGTTTCCTTGTTTTCCTTTTCTATCAAATGGCGACGTTCTTGGATTGCGAGTTGTATAAAACAGATAAAAAGAATTATGCTGCATCTAACAAACATATCCGACCTGATGAAATAGTGCTAAGTGCTCTGTAGTTGTATAGCAAACACTGTAATATGATTTTAATCAAGATTTCTTCAATTCTTCATCGAAGCATGAAGAGAGCGCGCTACTTTGGCCCGCTCTGCCTTTTTGATGGCGACCACGAAGTATACAATACCTATTGGCGGGTTCGAGGTAGTCAGCTGGATGCTTCTCGATATCGTAATTGCTTAAAACGCTGGTATACGCTCAATACGCTGGTGGTCAAAGCGCTGGCGGATGCTGAAAATGCCAGGTTGATATCAATACGTTCCCAGCCGCTGAAAGGCTCAAAACGCTGACGCAAAGTATGAACGCACCGTTATGCTGGAAAAAGGCACAGGGCATGGCTATATGCTTTATTGAAACCAGTCGGATCGCACGGCTGACGCCGTGCTCTCCTCCTTCTCTTGAGCTCGGCTTCGCCGAGCTGGCCTGGCTTCGCCAGGCGGCTCCATAATTTTAGCGGAAACTTTTTCGGCAGTGCGCTGCTCATAAGGCACTGTAGTGATCGAATCGTAACAGACAGAGCAAGGCTTAGGATCCCGCAAAACTCAGCACGCGCTTCTATTTACAGCAGCGGTGTAGTCCGCGCCATGACGGCCCATAGAATACATAACTCTGTAGATAGATACGTGTAGTCGGCCAATACAGGGCAGTATGAATCGCTCAGTAAAAGAGTAGAATTCGTTTCCTATTACCTGTACCAAAATGCCTTGTGATGTATGTTTCCCTTTTCAATTAGCATGCAATCCGCTGAGTTCATTTTCTAAGGCTATCAGGGAAGTGATGGCTAAAGGAAAAGTATGCACACTGAGCCTTTGATACTTGGGGGTATAGTGATAAGAGAAGTAATGATAATGGCCCCTTATCCTTTCTTATCAATTGATAAGGTCCTGTCACCCGTCATCAATGTCCCTATCACTAAAACTCTGTAATTTGGTAGTGTAAAGGCTCCAGCAATTTGACTGAACCTTATCCTTATCAGCCCCTATCAGCTGTTATCACCTCACGTGTCGTGTCCCCATCTCCAACTCTATATCATTTTCTGAAATTAATGCCTAGGTGATGCTGTGTTCCGCGTTATGAGTATGGTGACCTCCATGGCTAACTCCCCTTAATCCAAATCATATCAAGCATGCCTATGATTTCTTGTCACCCATCAATAATGTTCCTGTCCCACGTCCTATACCATACCTTGGAACCAATGTCCCACTGTTACTGTGTCCCGCACTATGGGCTCGGTCACCCTCCCCTTCTAAGGCCCCTTATCGAATCTTATCAGCTGCTATCATTCCCTGTCACCCATCAATAATGTTCCCGTCCTGCCATGTATATCACTTCTTGGAACTGTCGTCCTATCTTTTCTGCGACGCTCGCTATGAATTTCGTGACAGACAGACGGACGCACACACACACACACACACACACACACACACACACACACACACACACACACACACACACACACACACACACACACACACACACACACACACACACACACACACACACACACACACACACACACACACAACAGACAACTTAGCGGATTATATATAGTAGGATAGGACACAAGTCGACGCCCGGCTGTCGCCGGGCGCTCCTCCTTCTGTGACATGGCCCGGCTTCGCCGGGCCATGCGGATTTGCCGCGTGCTAAGTTAATCGTTGACCAACCACACTGTTCAAAGGAACATCTTCTGCATCAGCCAAGAACTGAAAAGCAGCGCTTGTTCCGTCAAGGCGCAGAAGCAGCAGCAGCGCCCCCCCCCCGCATCACAGAAGGAGGAAAGCCGGCCTTAGCCAGCGATCCGACTGGTACGTTCATAACCTACACGGAAATAGTGCAGCCTGTTTGGACAGCCACTGAAGCAGCCTATAATTTATGCAATCTGTCTTCCTAAAGCGTCTTGCTTTGGAATGCACTACCGCATTCAGCAGTGGAACCCTTTAAATGGCCCTCACTGAAGTTGCTGATGGAAGATAATTGTGGTAAGAGTGATAAAGTCAGTTGCTGCTGTTCATAACATCTCTGTAAACAAACCACATGCATTTGGGATAGAGCTGGCCCCCCCGGCTTAGCGGTCGTACACGATGTCGTTACTAATAAGCAGTGAGGAATGAGTTCTGTTGGAATCATTGAGATCGTTATACTTGAGTCATATCTATCGGATTGTTGTTGTGAGCGGTGAAGCGGATTTTCCCATGCTACCTTGTCAATTTTAGCTCCTATCACTTCCGTACCCGCCAATAACACTCCCGTCCCGTATCACTATCATATCACCCTGTATCGCCTCTCGGATCAGAGGTCCCACTGTTGCTGTAACCTGCGTTACGAATCTGATGACCCTCCCCTTCCGAGGCCGCTTACCGTATCTTATCAACTGTTATCACTTTCTGTCGCCCGCCAATAATGTTCCCGTCCCACACCCTATATCACCTCACGGATCTGAGTTCACTGTTGCTGTAACCTGCGCCACGAATTTGATGACCCTCCTCTTCCGAGGCCCCTTATCGGATCTTATCAACTGTTATCAGCTTCTGCCAGCCCCTACGGCATATCAGTACTTGAAATCATGGTCCCGCCGTTGCTGCAACTTGCCACGAATTCGGTCACCCTCCCCTTTAAGGCCCCTTATCGAATCTTATCAAGTGTCATCACCTCCTGTCACCCATCAAAAGTGTTCCCGTCCTGCCATGTATATCACTCCTTGAAATCACGGTCCCGCACCTCCCGCAGCTGCTGCAACTTGCGCTAGATGTTGGTCACCCCCCCCCCTTCTAAAGCCCCTTATCGAATCTTATCAAGTGTTATCACCTCCTGTCACGCACCAAGTGTTCCCGTCCTGCCATGTATATCACTTCCTTGAAATCACGGTCCTGCAGCTGCTGCAAATTGCGCTACGATTTCGGTCACCCTCCCCTTCTAAGGCCCCTTATCGAATCTTATCAAGTGTTATCACCTCCTGACACCCCAAAAGTGTTCCCGTCCTGCCATGTATATCACTTCTTGGAACTGTCATCCTATCTTTTCTGCGACGCTCGCTATGAATTTCGTGACACACACACACACACACACACACACACACACACACACACACACACACACACACACACACACACACACACACACACACACACACACACACACACACACACACACACACACACACACACACACACACACTTAGCGGATTATATATAGTAGGATATGGCTATATGGTTATTTGAATAATGGACATTGTTCGTCATCCTATCTTGACAAATGCACGATTTGAATGGTTTTGATACTGGTAAATTCTAACAGCAGCGCAGCCGTGGCCACGCTCAAATAGAGCACGCAGGCTTACTTACTCCATCTCTGGTAGATGATGTAGTTTCAGTCCCTCAGAAGCACTGATGCTCGACATAGTTCCGATTCAAACCAGGAAAGGTTTCAAACGTTCAGACAGCTCTGCTAAGAACTGCGCAGGATAATGTCCACCAAAGATTCGAAAAGCTGGCCTTCCAGGTATGAGGTCGCTCACCTATCTTCTACGCTCGATGAGTAGACCTCGAATGGATCCCGTTTTGGTTTCTGAGATATGCAGCCTTGTTAGATGCGAATGATGGGGCGTTCCGACGGAGGATGGGTTTGGCACGTGCCAGCCTGTCTTTTTGCTTTTTTTTTCTTTTAGCGAGCAGCAAGACTATCAGGTCGTTCGTATCAGTCTTTCACACCAGTTGTTGTCCCTTAGCCGCTCGACTGTTGGCGGAAACGAGCTGGTGGCGCGCCAAACCCGTACCCGTGACACGCACCACCGTCCGCAACGAACAAGACTGTAGCTGAATTAGTAAGGCAGCGTCCAGACTTCGCGACGGCAGCGCTTCAAACGCACGTCCGACACGATCGATGTTGTCGAAAGCATGCGCATGGATCGCTGAATCGCGCGACCGGGGTTGAAGTCTGAACGCTGCCTAAAGTGTTCCGAATCATTAGTGTATGGTATAGTGTACACAGTGTATTTTTTTACATATTTTAATCATTCGAAGACGTGAATACAGTCCACTGGGGAAGAGCAACAACGAGGCAATTAAATCAACACTCGTACAGGAAAAAACAAGAACAACGGAAAACCATGTGAAAAATACTGAGTTATGAGCAAAAATCTTGAGCGGGCTATGGCTTGACACCCCTTAGAGTGATAATGTAAACGGCGGCTCTGGCGGCGTAGCGGATAGCGCTAACGACTTTTGCCCATAACTCAAACTTGAACAGCTTTCATCATGGTAAAATAAATTTAGGAAAGAATCGTTGGATAAACTTTATACATAGCATGAAAGTAAATAAAGCACAGGGTAAGCGAAAGACAGGAAGAAGGGACATACAGGGACCTTCAAACTAGTATGAATAATGGTCAACTGTCTGAAATTGGGCAATGATAGTCCGAGAATGTCTCGTTTCGTAGTAAGTAATAGGCGTGCCAAGAAAACTTAGCTGAAGAAACTTGTGAACCTTACTTGAATCTGATTGCCAATGGCTTAATGTCGTGGTTCCCCTTGTATCTGACATAGCATATCAGACATATAGCAATCGTATAAAGATAGATGAGGCCTAGATCACTCTTGACCGTTCGGTCGCCCAGATGTAATCGTGTAAGTATTGAGCGGAGGACATAGTTCCA